GCTATGTAGGCTTCCTGTGTTTTTGTGCCCTTCCTCCACTGGGCTGGATCATACAGGTTTATCTCAGACTGTGGCACTGGCTGTGCAACCTGCTAAAGTCAGAGCTTCAGCCCTCCGGATTTTGTGGGAGAGGGTAGGGACCCATCCAGCCACACCTAGCTGTCTCCCCATTTGAGCTTCCTCTCTCTGGGGTCCTGGGGTAGGGGCCTGCCCAGCTGCTTCCACTTATGGCTCCCTCTCTCTCTGAGCAGAGGGGGTTGGGACAATAGCTCAGTCTGCAGGCTCTTATTCAACTCTGCGTTTGTAATTCTCAGCACTTGAGTGGCAAAGATCCCCTGTTCTGTGTATTGCTGAGGCTTTGGGGGAAGGGCTGTATCTGGACCAGAGTGCCCTGCCCGAGGGGAGCCTCTGACTCACCAGTCAGATGCACTTTCTGGGTGAAGCAGCACCCCTCCCTGCTTCAGTTTGCCCTGAGTGGGCTTTGCTCACCATCGTACCTGACCCACTGAAATGCACCTGGTACCTTGGTTGGAGCTAGGAGATCTCTGGATTTCTGTGTCTCTCTTGCAGGGTGTTGTGCACTGGACTTGTGTCTAGTTGGCCATCTTGGATGTCCCACAGGCATTCTTATACACCAGTAACAGACTTAAAGAGCGCCAAATCAAGAACGAACTGCCATTCACAATTGCTACAAAGAGAATAAAATAAAATACCTAGGAATGCACCTAACAAGGAATGTAAAGGACCTCTTCAAGGAGAGCTCCAAACCACCGCTCAACGAAATGAGAGAGGACACAAACAGACAGATGGAGAAACATTCCATGCTCATGGTTAGGAAGAATCAATATCGTGAAAATGGCCATACTGCCCAAGTTAATTTATAGATTCAATGCTATCCCCATCAAGGTACAGATGACCTTCTTCACAGAACTGAAAAAAACTGCCTTGAACTTCATATAGAACCTAAAGAGAATCTGCATAGTCAAGTCAATTCTAAGGAAAAAGAACAAAGCTGGAGGCATTGCCACATATCTGCAACCATCTCATCTTTGACAAACCTCACAAAACCAAGCAATAGGGAAAGGATTCCCTGTTTAATAAATGGTGTTGGGAAAACTGGACCCCTTCCTGACACCTTACGCTAAAATTAACTCCAGACGGATTAAAGACTTAAACATCAGACCTAACACCATAAAAACCCTAGAAGAAAACCTAGGCAAAACCATTCATTCAGGACATACGTGTAGGCAAGGACTTCATGACCAAAACACCAAAAGCCTTGGCAACCAAAGCCAAAATAAACAAATGGGACCTAATTAAACTCTAGAGCTTCTGCACAGCAAAAGAAACAATCATTACAGTGAATTGGCAACCAACAGAATGGGAAAACATTGTTGCAGTCTGCCCATCTGACAAAGGGCTAATTTCCAGAATCTACAAACAACTAAAACAGATTTACAAGAAAAAAAACAAGGCCATTCAAAAGTGGGTGAAGGATATGAACACTTTACAAAAGAAGACATACATGAGGCCCAGAAACGTATGAAAAAAATGCTCATTATCGCTGGTCATCAGAGAAATGCAAATGAAAACTACATTGAGATACCATCTCATGCCAGTTAGAATGGCGATCATTAAAAAAATCTGGAGATAGCAGATGCTGGAGACAATGTGGAGAAATAGGAACACTCTTACACTGTTGGTGGGAGTATAAATTCAACCACTGTGGAAGGCAGTCTGGTGCTTCCTCAAGGACGTAGAAATAGAAATTCCATTTGACACAGCAATCCTATCACAGGGTATATATCCAAAGAATTATAAATCTTTCTACTGTAAGGACACATCAATAGCAAAGACTTGGAACCATCCTAAAAGCCCTTGAGTGAGACCGGACAGGGAAAATGTGGCACATATACACCATGGATTACTATGCAGCCATCAAAAACGATGAGTTCGGACATGGATGAACCTGGAAACCATCATTCTCAGCAAAGTTACAAGAACAGAAAGCCAAACACCACATGTTCTTACTCATACCTGGGTGTTGAACAATGAGAACACATGGACACAGAGGGGAGCATCACACACTGGGGTCTGTGGGTGGGGGGCAACTAGGGGAGGGATAACATGGGGAGAAATGCCAGATATAGGTGATGGGGAGGAAGGCAGCAAACCACACTGCCATGTATGTACCTATGCAACAATCCTGCATGTACTTCACACGTACCCAAGAACCTAAAGTACAGTGTGTGTGTGTGTGTGTGTGTGTGTGTGTAAATTCTACCATGACTATCCATCTACCCCTTAGGTTCCATACCCGGCATGTGTGATAGGCACAATTTTGAGTGCCTTTTTGTACATACAGGGATGAGAGAGACCCACATGACTTATTCCTGGAAACGGAGTGCCCAGGTACCTGGAATTGGACATGGGATATGCATGCCACCATGTAGCGGGAACACGAGGTTGCACATCTAATAATTTTTTTGTGACTGTAGTTAGCTGTCATTTGAGTGCAGTTCTACAAGAAAACAAAGGGAAAGTGATTCCTGATACACACAGGCATGGCCACAAGATTTTGTTAGTTTTTCATGAAAAGGCTAGGCCAGAAGTCTTGGCTCATGCCTGTAATTGTAGCACTTTGGGATGCCGAGATGGACAGACTGCTTGAGCTCAGGAGTTCAAGACCAGCTTGGGCAACATGGCGAAACCCCGTCTCTACAAAAAAGAAAAGGACCTAGTGGGGCAATGTGGCACATGTCTGTAGTCCCAGTTACTGGAGACGAAGACTTGAGCCTGGAGGCAGAGGTTGCAGCGAGCCAAGACTGTGCCGCTGCACCTCAGCCTCGGTGACAAAGTGAGACCCTGTCTCAAAAAAGAAAAAGCTGTATTAATTACTTCAACTTCTCTAGCCTCAATGTTGCATCTCTAAAATAGGGATAATAATGTCCTCTTTAAAAGGCTTCATGTGTGTCCAGTGCACTTAAAATGCTTCATTTAATGCATACCTCATGTTCCAGAAAGGCTAGTTATTTGTAAATGGGCTTTGAATTGTGTTGTAAAAAATCCTACAGGTCTAGTTGTCAGTCCCTGGCCATAAAATTGATCCATAACTCCTTCTTTAAATATACATGCATATGGCTTATGGAATAATACTGGACTTGCCTTGCTCCAGTTTCTCACTCAGCACACGTGAGAAGCTATGCATAAGTGTGCAAGCACACATGTGCCTGGGCAGCTGTGCAACTTCGTAACTTAAGAACATGCCCGGCCATCAGGTTGATGTCACCACATATTAAATCTGGCAAGGTTCAGAATTGTTACTTCTACCCAAGCAGAAAGGCTTCATGACACATAAATCACAGGTTTGCTTCAGTTCAGCACTGAGCATTTAAAGTCTGGTATGAAAATAGTCTATACCATTTAAGGGCATGTCTTACTTGATAAAGCTGAGAAAACCAGTCAGCAGAATAATTTTTTCTGGTCTTACAACTTAGAGCCCTATCAATCATGTAGAGGGTTGAATGATGCCCCTTTTAAAATTGAGAACAAACTGACTGTTGAATTGGTAGTCACTGGCAAAAGAAACAGGAAAAAAAATCACCAATTGATATTCCAGGAAAATGAAAACAATTAACTAGTATTTAGTTCTGATTGAATCCATTGATCTGTTTTGTGTAATATTATGAAACCACTGAATTAGCCTAATCTGTATATATTAACACTGAAAGAACTCTACAAAAAGCTAATTAAAAATGACAGGTGCATCATGATACATAAAAATGTATATGATACTGTGAATACCATAATGAACACCTACTACATGTATAGGCATGCATATGCAAAATAAAACGATAAACATCAATCTGTAAAAGTGGCTTCCTTTAAGAGGGAGGGAGGAAACCAGGGTGGCAATGGGGTTATTTTGAATCTATTTTAGAAATATCTGTAATTGTTTTTTACTTTTAAAAAATCTAAAGTTTTAATTGCACATGGAAGTACACAAGTCTCAAATTCCATATATCTCCTTCTGATGTAACAAAGTTATATTACTTTTATAAACCTATTAAGTCAAAGACAAAACATTGCCAGTCTCACCATTGAACACAACCCTTAACATTTTGGCATACTATAATTTATCTGAAGTTATGCTGTAAATATGTATTTCAATTTTTTATTACAAGATCCTTTATGGTCTTTCTTTATTCTGCTCATTTTAATGGATATAATCTACCATGTGTATATACTTCAACTTACTGCACTGCTTCATTTTTTGGTACAAAAATGACAAACAACTATGTGATTAACACAGTGCCGGGTTTGTCCCCCACATACCTATCTTAAGAGATACTGACTCTGAGAAGAAATAATCAAAATGTTTGAACATTTTAAATGAGAAGTATGACTGATTAAAAACAGAACTGCATTGTCCTGAGGGGGTCTGCAATACACAGCAACATTTACCACTAGCCCAAAATAACAACATCGAGCAGCCCAGAGAGGAACAAATAACCCAATCGCACATTCTGCTAACCCTGTGGAACTCAGACAGGAGGTATCCTCCAAACCACTTCACATGCCTCATCTCCCTGGAGAAGACTAAAAGCCAGAATAAACTCCGACGGTACTTCTAGGAATGATTAATAATCAACAAGGAGATGGTATTGAAAAGCAAAAAAAAAAAAAAAAACAACCAAACCTCAAATTCTCCCCTCAGCTTAGGGTAATAACCAATCATCAATCAAATTACAAAACTAATTTCCAAGTGATTACTGCATCAGTCCCAAACAAGAATTAAGAAAGAAGAAGGACATGAACAGTCCATTTGCCTTTGTTGTGAAAATGATCTTACTGATGTAGGTGGTTCACTGTAGCAGGTCAGTAGTCAAAACACAGTGCCAATGCACAGGCAAACACAGCTTGTTGTAATAGAATCTCGGATTAAATTAGAAGATTGAGAGGTAGAGAGGATTTCTTGCAAAAGGCCGATGTGTACTTACCATTCGTATAAGGGTTGACGGTCTTTTTATTTGTCATTACACGTGCTGTGGCATTATTTACCTATGTACATAGAAAACTCAAATAAGCACATATTCTAAGGCCAGCTCCCGATTCAATTAGTTGCATGCATTATGACCGTGATTTACTTATTAAAAAAAGAAAACTAAAAACTAAAATGCATTTTAATTTATAGAAGGCAGTAGGTGCATAACAAAATCATACATTTTTAAAATTACATTTACTTCATAACCATTTAACTTACAAATCATTTCAATAAAGCAATGTCATATCATTAAGAGTTTAATAAAGAGACAGTAAAAGCAAATTAAAAGATACTGCACAATTGAAGATTTAAAAGCATGCGTGTACTCCATGGTAACACAGAAACGATAAATATTTTTTAAACATAAAATAAAGTTCATATGAAGGAGCATGCAGTGGAGAAGAGGGAAGAGACAAAGTACAAGGGAACATAAATGTCAGAAAAAGGGACAAACAAGTCTTAGCCGTGTGCAACACTTCAGGAGGAAAAGAACCATCAGGAAAGCAACATCTAGCATTCAACACTTGGAACAAGAGCCTTTTACATTGCAAGAATTAACGAGATCATTCAAGCTTTAAAGTCACAGCTAACAAAAGGATAAAAGAGAAGGGTGCATTGTTTAACACAATATGGAATTAACAATCTGAGTAAGATGTGCACCGGTCATAACTCAATCCAGTCAGTGCCTCCCAGGCTAGCTTAGAACGTACACTCAATTACAGGCGTACCAATATCCAAAAAAATAGAGCATCAAGAAAACTTAATACAACAAGTCAAAAAAATTCACGTGGTATATATATATGTATATAGATATATCAGCACTAAGTACGTGAAACGGCAGATGGACTTCACCACTTACCATTCACCGCCATCGCCAGCATGAGTTTGTATACAGTTACCATGGTTACTGAGAGTTTGGTGAGGGGCCTAAGCGTTATCGTCGAAGGGGAAAATGAAAGGCAAAATATGCAACATCTTACTCCAAAGACTAAAGCATTTTTAACTGGTATTAAAAAAAAAAAAGTTTTAACAAATATGACCCTTTGGCTATGTTGCGGGAGATCCCAGTGGTACAAATAGCAGACTCCGAGTGTCAGCATTTTGGCATTTACGCTTTCCATGGACAGAGGCCAGATACTGAACAGGAAATCCTGTTTGATTATTCACTTGTTATCAAAAGAATACAGAAATTCAAACTGGCTTCTTTAAAAAAAAAAAAAAAAAAAAAAAGACATTTAGTAAAAACCTCTCTTTTTTTTTTTTTTTTTTTTTTTTTTTTAATCTTTTTGTTTTCCCAATTTGGTTTAATTTGCAAACCACTGTGGATCCCTCTTCAACCCTGAAGTGGAAAGAAAAAGAAAAAGAAACTATTCTGTATTTTGTTTGGATTGCAACCCTGTCTATTCTTTGGAACCTACTGCACCCATTGATTATAAAACATGGAAATTAACAAAAAGGAAAAAAAAAAAAAACCCTTTTACAATTAACCTTTCTTTTGTCTCACGTTTGCCATCCACCTTTCAGCAGTAATAAGATAACATAATAAAGTAAAATTTTAAAAAAAAAAGTAAGGCCAGTTTTCCTTTTTATATATAAATATATATATATATAAACGATGAGGGGGAAATAGGGTCACATACAAGACGCCAGTGATGCATCTGGAACAACGAATGAGCGTGAAGCAGACATTTATAAAAAAGAGGAAAAGGAAAATATTTTGAACATGCACCTCGATTTTACGGCCCTCTACCACGGTGCCGTGTAATTTCTCCCTCGCCCTGTCGGCATCGGCACTATTTTCGAAAGTTACGAAACCAAATCCCTGCATGCAGGAGGGAGAAGGGAAAACAACATGCAGATTATTATTTCAGTCAACGACCACTTGGAAACGTTCTCTCGCTTTAATCTCTATTTCTTGTCCTGGCTTCAGTTCTGTAACATGCAAATTAGAGAAATTATAAGAGTCCTGAGATGTGCAATCATTAAGCGACAAATGTGAACAAGATTTTTTTTTTTTCTGTCCCCAGTTAGCTGTAACCCCTGAAGAATTCAAAGAAGGATACCAAAAATACCTTTCTAAATGTCACTACGGAAGAAAATAAATCTAACGAAAAGAAAATGAGATCAAAATAAATGTACGGTGTCTTCACAGAGAATAAAATGAAATAACGAGGAAAAGAAAAGGGAACCGCTTTTCTGACATGCAAATTAAAAATAAAATAAAATAAAAACGTGTGCACGAAATTCAACAATGAATGCCAAAATCCTCTAACATTGCCTACAGAGTCATGCTGTGTGGTTTTAAGAACATCGCTTCTTCATGCAGTTTTAGGGTTATTCAAATTTGTCAATTCTACAGCCTTTACTTCTCAAAAACAAAAGTTAAAAGCCTAAAAAAAGGAAAGACCTTTTTTCGGTAATAAATCTTAAGCTCTCTGGTCTAATAAACAAAAAAGTCACATGAAATGAATAGAAATAAACTTCAGTTGATTCAAAATACAAACAATTCAATGTTTGTGTTCATACTTTCCCGCTCTTCAAATTGCATACATGCTTTTGGATTTGACAACCTTCCATATGACTTCATTAACCAGAAAGGGAAAGGTGTACCCACATTGAAAAGTTCTAGCATTAGGTCAGTATTTATTTTTCATATCAACAGGTAGCAAAGGAACGTTGCTAATACAATGTAATTTGTAATAACATTCTGGCCACTTCCTCTTTGACTGATAGATAACAAATATACCCTTTAATTCACCACAGGTACATTTGGCTCTTAACAGTTCAGCCTCAAATAACCCCACTAAACTGCATATTGTCAAAATCCATATTTTGTCTTCACTGACATTGTTCCTAAGAGCACAGAAAATGACACATTATTTTTAAAGCCCCTAAAAATATTTGTACATCTTGTTCAGAAATATACACCAACCTTTCGAACAATTTCCACGTAAATTTGCCCAGCTCTTTCTGATCTCTCACTGCAAAGTGGGTGCAATGATGGAGTATTTTGGGGCTCCTCTTAGCATCGAATAATCCTTGTTGGCTCCAGGCTTAGTTGGGACATTATAATACTCAGTTTCACCAAAGAAATGCACAATAATTACAAAGGCATGGTAGTTACAATCACCAGCTCTAACTCCTAATCCTACATTAGATCTCTATAATGACGTCCAAATTTAAGGCTAAAGAGGAATTGTCCAATGGGCTGGCTAAGAGAAAGTTTCAACAGTCAGAATAGGCTCATCAGCAGCAGAGGATGGAGATGTGGATATATTCAAGTTAGGGTACATGATCATTGTTGGGATTCCATAGACAGCCGTATGTCAATATCCACTACGGATTAGTTACAAGACCCCTGTGCCCCAGATACCCAAATCCTCGCACATCCAGGTCCTGTAGTCATCCCGTGGAACTTGAGTATAGCGGAAAATCGGCTCTCTGTATAAAAAGGTGGCACATCCTGGGAATACTGCCTTTGGTTGAAAAAAAATTCACATATAATTGGACCTTCACAGTTCAAATCCATGTTGTTCAAGGTTGAACTGTATTGAGAAAAAATACTTTGCTTTTCTTTGGCCGATTGAACCAAATTACCTTCCATAATCTTTCCCATAGTGAGGATCTGAGAGTGGGATAAGCCTGAATCACCTGATTAATTTAGCATCATTTGATCCATAACAGAAGGGTCTTGCCTAGTCTTCTAGGATGCCCACATTGGGTTTGCAAATACGCTTGCTAACTAAATAGCTTGGAAATGATTGTTCTTCAAAGGGAAAAAAGAATTTAGGGGGATTTCACTGTATTTGACAGTTCCAACTCTTGGCCAGTATATCTCAAACTTAGCTGCACATCAGAAGGAACTTGGGAGCACATTAAACGTTCAGATTCCCGAGGCTTGCTTTGTATCCACCGGATTAGAATCCCAGAATGGACTCCAGAAATCTGTTTGCTTACAGAGCTTAAAATGTGTGGCCCAGCGATTTAATTTCCATGACCTCTCATTTCACTACGTGTGATCGAAACCACCAAAGGAAGGTTTCGGGCCAGAGATGGTGGCTCACACCTGTAATTCAAGCACGTTGAAAGGCCAAGGCAGGAGAATTACTTGAGTCCAGGAGTTCAAGTCCAGGCTCAGTAACATGGCAAAACCTCATCTCTACCAAGAAAATTTAGCTGGGTGTAATGGTATGCCCCTTTGATCCCAGCTTGAGCCCAGGAGATTGAAGCAGCAGTGAGCCGTGATCGCACCCCTGCACTCCAGCCTGGATGACAGAGCAAGACCCTGTCTCAAAATCTAAAACAAAAACTAAAAAACTTAGCCAGGTGTGATGGCCTGTACCTGTTGTCTTAGCTATTTGGGAGGCTGAGGTGGGAGCATTCATTGCTTGAGCCCAGGAGGCTGAGGCTGCAGTGAGCTGTGATTTCACCCCTGTATTCCAGCCTGGGTGAGACCCTGTCTCCCTTGTCTCAAAAAGAGAAGATTTTTATTCTTTGTAGTAGGTAGAATTTTATATTGCTGATTTCTATAGGTTTTTGAGAAGGATATCTGACTTGGTTACAGGTAGAGGTAATGCCAAAATCACATGTCCCAGGCTTCTTGGCAACATTCTCTTCCTCCCTGATATGCCTGACTTCTTAGCAACCATAGCCATGCCACATGTTCCAAAAGGAACTACAGAAACTAGCACTGTGGATTTACAGTCTGTCACTAGGCAAGGAAGGAAAAGTCATAGACCCAGTGCACAGCTGGAGGGCTAGCTGGCATCATTTCTGCCTGTGGGAACTAGCAGTCACTGTTAGCACAGCATCAGGAAGAACATAGCCAGGTGACACTGAACGCTCACCCACCTGTCCAACATTAGCCTCGAGAATCTTGCTTTCATGCTTCATGTCTGAACCCAAGGCAAAACCTACTGCCCTGAAATCAGCATTATGCACATGTAGGAGAGAAAAAGGTAGAGAGAGAAATAGATTCTGAATACCAAGGAAGGGGCACACACTAAAAAGGAAATAGCCTAATCTGTTCGCATCAAGGTCTCACTGTTTAAGTGAAGAGAATATATTGATTCTTTTTTATTATTATTCTTATTGTTATTATATTCTGCTAAACTTCTCTCTTTTCTTGTCAGCTGCTCCATACTCAAGTTGAGAGATGCTTAGTTGAGATTTGACAACGTTGGGTCCAGAAAGAGCTTGCTCCAGAAACAGTCCTCGAAATGCCACACAGACTTTCCTACCTGCTCCTTTGGACAATTCTACCTCCCACTGAGATAAGAGAGTGGCATGGTCTCTCTGGGTCATCAGGCTATCAAAATTCTCACCTGGGTGTTGCAACAGAACCAGAGAGACTTCACTGGGTCCTCACCATGAGTGAGGAACCTTTGCTACGAAGTGCAAGGTGCCAGGTAACACTGAGAGCAGGTTGTTTCTTCTGACCCGCCTCATGGTCAGAATTCTAACTCAAGAAAACAGCAATTTGCAGTTTTTAAAAAGATGATGAATATTTTTATCTCTGCCTTAAAAAGCAGAACAAAACAAGCACATTCCGAGCTTGGCTTGCTGAGCACAGGGCTGGATGTGATGCTGATGTGTAACTGCTTAAAAAATCCAGACAGCAAGAAAAAGGGTACAGATAGGGGCGTCAGAGACACACCTTCCCAGAGTTTACCTTCAATGCTACTAAAGAGAAGAAACCTGTGGCCTGTCCCCTGTCATAAGCAGGGACAATGAGTAGGGCAGATAATGGGAATCTTAAGGGGATTGCCAGACTGGCATGACTTGCTTCCTTTAAAATATTTTTGTAAATCATACGTTCTGATCCTCCTGTATCCTACTGTTCTTTTTTTTTGTTTTTTTTTTTGTATTTTTAGGTGATCGTTTCCTTTTTTGCATTCATGCAAATACAACATTTTATCTTCTATTTTTTTTTTTTTTTTGAGATGAGTCTCGCTCTGTTGCCAGGCTGGAGCATAGCAGCACAATCTAGGCTCACTGCAACCTCCGTCTCTGGGTTCAAGTGATTCTCCTGCCTCAGCCTCCTGAGTAGCTGGGACTACAGAGACGTGGCACCACGCCCAGCTGATTGTTGTATTTTTAGCAGAGACGGGGTTTCACCATGTTGGCCAGGATGGTCTCCATGTCTTCACCTCAGGATCTTCCCGCCTCAGCCTCCCAAAGTGCTGGGATTACAGGTGTGAGCCACTGTGCCCAGCCTACCATTTTATATCTTAAATAAAGGCTTAATTAAAGCACCCTGGCTGGATGAATGTACTGATTTTTCATCTTATATGAAAAATCCAGTCCTCTAGTTTCTTGTGCAGAGAACTCATATTTAGAAGAGGGAAGCTGTTGATGAGCATCTGAAGATTCCTTTTCCAGGGGGACTCTGAGCGTCTCATCTTAATTTTATTCCAGGGACCTTTGCACATGCAACTCCTTCTGTCTGGAAGACATCCCTCTTTTCCCTTCCTGGGAAATTCTTAGTCATCTCTCTTTCTTAGCCTAAATGTTCCTTCTTTCCAGAAGCCTTCTCACCTTCTCACGGTATCAGTCTCCCTGTCTGGACTCTGAGCAACCTCTCACATCACCGGAGAACAGCACAGGGTGCTGCAGTCACCCATCATCCTAATCCATCTCCCCTGCTACTCAGGAAAGCTCAGGAGGACACGAAGTACTTCTCTCTTCCTCATGGTTAGCCCTCATGAAAAGCAACAACTCCTTACATCTACTGAATCCAAGATTAAACTGTAGATTTCTTTTTTTCTTTTCTTTTCTAGATGGAGTCTTGCTCTGTCACCAGGCTGGAGTGCAATGGCACAATCTTGGCTCACTGCAATCTCCACCTTCTGGGTTCAAGCAATTCCACTGCCTCAGCCTCTTGAGTAGCTGGGACTACAGAGGCATGCCACCATGCCCTGCTATTTTTTTATATTTTAGTAGAGATGGGGTTTTACCAGGTTTGCAAGGATGGTCTCAATCTCCTGAACTTGTGATCTGCCTGCCTTGGCCTCCCAAGTGGTGGGATTATAGGTATGAGCCACCACACCTAGCCAGATTTCTTAAGTATATACTTAGGGAGTAGCTATATCTGTCTATGGCCCCCAAATAAACTATATCAGAGGTAAATGAGATGGTTGGGTACACCTCCTAAAAAGGAAAAATATAGGATCATTCGCCCTTAAATGCTTACTAACTCTTTCTGACATACCTCTTTAAAATGTAGTGTGTCTGCCTTGCTATTCATACATTAAATACTTATGTGATACATTTCCAAAATAATATAGATACTGCCTGTGCATTTATAGTTTTGGTTGGTTATTGAGAGAAGGTCTCACTCTATCAATCACCCAACCTGGAGTGCAGTGGTGGGATCACAGCTCACTAAAGCCTTGACTTCCTGGGATCAAGCAATCCTCCTGCCTCAGCCTCCCAATTAGCTGGGACTAAAGGTGTGTATTACCATGCCCAGCTAATTTTTAATTATTATTTTATGAAGATGGGGGGGGTCTCACTATGTTGTCCAGGGTGGTCTTGAACTCCTGGCTTCAGGTAATACTCCTACCTCAGCTTCTGAAAGTGCTGGAATGTCAGGTATGAGACACCACGTATGTATAAGGTATGTATAAGGTATATACATACCTCAAGTATGTATAAGGTATATATGTCTGCATACACACTCAGACATACACAGACAACACACACAGCCATCACCACTCAGCGTAGAGTGGCCTGCCTGAATGACTGCTGGAGAATGAAAGGCAAGAAGGTGAATTCCTGGCTCTTCAGGACCCACTAATTTCCTGGCTGGCTGTCCAGCACCAAATGATGAAAATGAGGTCATAGAAATGGTTCAGGTTTCTGAACCATTACAATGAAAATGTTCCCCTAAATAAGGCCCTTTCCCATAAAGGATAATGTCAAGAATGAAAAACATCCCTGTGTGAGCTGCTGCTCCCATTGAGCGGTTCCCAACTGGACTGTCTCAGCGCCATTCCGGCAGAACCGAAACAGTCAGCTCCAACACCTGCAAGATGAGCTCTTTGAGAGCGAGCCTACCCACCGAGTGAGGCTATTTTGGATGTCTCCTAAACCAGAAGAATAAAGATCAAAAAAAGGCAGCTTCACAAAGTCAGGCTCTGGATGCAGCAATTTAAATGGTCTTTTTCCTGAAGCCCCCAGAGACAGGCTAATCATGGGAATGACGGAAGATGTCTTAAAAATAGCATCGCCATTGTACTTTCAAAATAGCGAACGATATTCTTCTAATGTCCCAAAACAGCTCTCAGAAGGAATTAAATAGCTTTCTTCAACTGGCAAAAGTTACAAAACAAAACATAAATTAAACATAGATTTACAAAAAAAAAAAAAAAAAAAAAAAAACCCACATCTTTGAAGGCAGTGCTGTTCCAGACAGACTTAGAACAAAGTTGGTCAACATTCGGGTCATCTACAATTTTGCCAACAATACAGAAGGCCCAAGTGAACAGGATTAGGCTGGGTACTTTTTTTTCTCTAAATGCACTATGCTTTGCAGGTATAGAAATAGTCCCTGTAATAATTTTCATACAAGAAGCCGGAAAAGAGATAACTTGGAGAATGATCGTAAAATATCTGAAGCTATGGAAAAGTGACAAGGTCCCTCGATGAGTAGAATCACACAGTGTAATGGATTCTTTTTTGCTTCTGTTTTCACTCATCTGACAGATGACAATATCACTTTGGCCATGGAGGAGGGAATACTGGGATTTTCTGTCCTTGATGTGATCAACATCGTCCTAGTTAATTAGTACTAAATCTACTTAGGAGGGAGGAAGCCTGTCCAAGGAATAAAAAAAAAAAAAAAAAAAAAAAAAAAATCAAAGGTTTGCTTCATGGGGGAAGGGGGTTATATATACCCCAAAGAGCTGGCACTGTGGCCTGCAACACTTCAAATAAAATCAATCCCGCTTAGTGACCGTCCATGATGCTGACTTGCCCCAAATTGCCTGTGTAAGGAGAGTCAAGGGGCCGAAACCAGTATCTCTCAACATTTGCATTCACAGTCTGAGGATGCTATGAGAACGGAACTAAAAATTCCTGACAGCCTTGGGAGTGGCAGCCAGGAGACCCGACAGAGCTACGGAAAGCATTCACTTTCTGGTTACCAAGATCCGCATCTCTGTTCTTCTCCATCATCTCTCCCTGTTACCCCCCTGTGTCTGCTGATAAGCCTCCTGTGTTGTTTTCCTCCATGGGGATTTTCATGGGGTTCCTGAGTGTTGTGTGCATGTAGGTAGAAAGAAGACAGCTGAACAGCAGCAGCAACAAAAGCCAAACACTAGTAAGCAGCAGGGCGTGTTACATTCACGGGGGAGGTTTGGAATTGGTCTAAAAGGAAAGACACAGCATTGATTGTTTTAAGGACAGGCCTGGAAATCTGGTTACAACACAGATTGCTGAGCCCCAGCTTGACAGTTTCGAATTCAACAGGTCAGGGCCGGAGCCTGAAAACTTGCATTTCTCATCAGTTCCTAGGTGGTGCTGACCTTCCTAGTCTGGGACCACCCTTGGTGAATCACTGACATGGAGCAGGCTTTAGTAGTTTGTGTTTCTTTCTTTTCCCAGCATATTTCTTTCTTTTGTTTGTTTGTTTGTTTTTGAGACAGGATCTTGCTGTGTCACACAGGCTGGGGCACAGTGATGCAATCTTGGCTTACTGCGATCAACACCTCCTGGGTTCAAGTGATTCTACTGCCTCAGCCTCCCAAGTAGCTGGAATTACAGGCGCATGCTACCATACCCTGCTAAGTTTTGTATTTTCAGTAGAGATGAGGTTTTACCGTGTTGGCCAGGCTGGTCTAGAACCCCTGACCTCAAGTGATCCACCCACCTTAGCCTCTCAAACTGCTGGAATTACAGGTTAGAGCTGTATACCTGCCCCATATTTCTGTTTTGAAAAAGAACCTCCCCTGAACCTCAGCCTTTCCATAGAGCCCCTGACTTTTATTAGCACTAGGGAATCTATTTAAAAATAAGTTTCCCTGAAAAAAAACAAACTCACAGCAATGGCAAATTGCGAAATGTGGATTGGTAAACATACTAATGAATAAAATCATATTCAAAAGGTTGGTGTATATGAGATTTTTCTCCCCTAAAACCCAGGAAAATAACTGCACTTTATTAATACAGAATAATCACATATTTACCTGCTCATGAGACTATCAACTCACTTTTTAATATAAAGAACATAATTATCACTGAAAAACAAAAATGTAGCAACATCATTATTTTTTTAAGCATGGATAATTTTCCTCTGGAAACTTGATAAATAAATAAATAAATAAATATATATATATATATATATCTCAAAAAACAGCAATTTAAAATTATCCCCTTATATATATTAAACTGAACCCGACGTCTTTACCACCATTTTGGAAGCAGAAGGTGGTCTCTAAAGGATTTCCCACTGAAGCGTATTTTCACAATGAGCTGATTAAGACAGTGCAGTTGTTTCCCGTTATTCGTAACAAACATTTAAAGACAAACTCAACAATTCTAAAGTGAATTAAGTTGCTTACCTTTGAGCCTCGCTCATTAAAAATAATTTCAACATCTAAGATTTTACCAAATTGCTGCAAAGAAACAGAAATATCTTATAAGCAAGAAGAGAAATGCAGGAGTTACTATGTACACTGGTAATTGTTTCCCATGTCAATTTTTTCCCCCTCTTTGGATATCAAGGATACACATTTTATGGTTTATGGTTAAGTAATGTGCTTGAAACGAGAGAAAAATACGACCACACATAGTATCTCCTTATGAAAGACACCAGCAGGGATTCGATAGAAAATATTCATCGAGACGTTAATTCTTTTTTTTTTTTTTTCTGTGTGCATGACTGCTTTCCCAGGCACTGATGCAGCAAACGTGAAAAGTGGCTAGTATGTATATACAATGAGCCTTCTGATCTACCCACTAAACACTAGGAGAAGCACCCTTGATGAAGTGTGATTTTGATAATGAGTGTCCCACAGGAATTTTAGGTGACTGGCCCCTAGCTCACAAAAAAATATAGGAGCAGCTCAAACATATGAGAAAGGAAATACAAACACAATCACAAACTCCACTACGAGGTACTCATCATAATCACAGTATCAGCAGTTGTGATCAGTGCTTGGGCTGAAATTCTCTCAAGATAATTCTCCATATTGTTAAACAGATTTTAGACAACTAGCATGAATAGGCTCTATCAAAAGTCCAGAAACAAAGACTCAGATTATAAATAAATTATAGACAAATAAAATGCAGACAGCCAGTTACATTTAAATTTCAGATTTTTCAGGATATGTCACACACAATATTTGGGACATACTTATACTTAATAAAATAGTTGTTTATCTGAACATCAAATTCAATGATTGTGTCTTACATATTTTTAAACTTGTGAAATCTGGGGGTCCAAGTGAGAAATGCACATCAAGCAGTTGTTGATTCACATTTCAAAATGGGGAGCATGGGCTCTGAAACTAGGGGTCTCGGATCACCTGCAATCCTTTCCTCCAACCTTGCAATGTTTGCCGTTTTCTGAGATCATGTGAAGGAGTGTGGGCATTTCTTGAGTGTAACAGCCTACCCTGCATACAAGCAGGTGAGCGACGGTGATGTAAAATCATGTACCGTGGCCCAGGGAAAAACAAAATGGGAATTCTACCTCCATGCAGAATGAGAGCAGATGCCCTTCGAGTGATTAAACAGGGCAACATAAATCTTTCCATCCTCTTTGGTTTGGAGCTTTCCTATCATTCCATTTACTTTTGCATTCTGTATTTTAATTGCATCCTTTATGACCCTTGGAGGTTCCGTATTTCCGTCTCTCCCCTGAGTGGAGAGCAGTAAGCATGCTTCGGTGTAGCAGAGAACAGAGTGTGACTGGGGTGAAGGGCAGGATGAGCAAGAAATAAACACTAAGACCACAAGAAAAGCAGGGGAGGCTTGCCTGCCCAATGCGTTTCAGTCACAGAGTATCCAGAGATGCAGACACTGAATGTCAAGAGGGTCCCACTCACATTCCAGAAGCAAATTATTTTGTACACACAGATGCTATCCCCTGGAACGTACAAAGAAAGCTACACTCCCTAGAATAGCAGGAAAAAAAATGTGTATGCCACTTGAATACAGGCAGCTCAATCTTGAAATAAAAATAGTTCTGATTATGGGAAAAAGTAACCCAAAGGGTGTCACTCTGTGCCATAGAAATGTTCCCATTCCTCAGGATCCCCCTGCCCAGCTAGGGGAACTACAGACGTGCATTTTTTCTGGTTGTGAAGTAAAAAACGACTAGTACTTTTGCTCAAAGAGGCATACGAATAGGAAGAAACCAAGGAGAAAAGACTCCGAAGAGAACGTGGAAAGGGGCGACATTGCCAGCACGCGGCATGGAAACACCAGAAAATATGCAGCGAACTCATCCTGCAATCTGTGGACTCGGATCTTTTGGTCAAGAGAATATTCCTTTCCAGAGCATTTTCAGTGCCCTAGTTTTAGGCAGAGGAAAAAAAAAAATCACTGAAAATAGAAGAAAACTTTCAGATTGGGGAAATGACGGATTTGCCGTTCAAATGTGAACTGAATTTCATAGTAAAGAAACCTCCAGTGTTGTGAACTCCCCCAAGCAGTAATTTTGACACAATCACCCTAGAATATTCAGTCTACACAGACACCATCATATTTATTTCAGGCCTAAGAGCCTAGAAGCACATATATTTGCAGAAAGAGAAGCTTGACGAGGACTTCTTCCAAAATCACGATGCAACTGTCGTCTACAGAACCTTCTCTAGGCAGTCAACCCAAAAAACCTTTCTTTCAAAATAGGATCTGATGGAGACAGAACCAATCAAACGGGAGTCTTAACATGTGTCTTTCCCTAAATGAAACAATGACATCAGATGCCCTGAAACAGTATCAAAGTTTGCTTCTCTGGCACTCGCTGTGAGGTTGACGGTTGGCAAAGCCGGTGAAACAAGCCTGAAGAAGAATGCTGATGTCAGCCCCATTTCCAAGACAGTTTTGTACTATATTTATAGTATCAACAGTTTAATTGGGAAGTTTGCTACTAATGATGTAAACACAGCTGGCACATTTTCAACTTAAATAGACACGACTCATTTGCAGACATAACTAGCATTTGTTTGCTCAACAGCAATGTTCAGCTGCATTCAACAACACCTCTCATCCACACAAAGGTGTCTCAATACCCAGGAAAGGCATCATCCCAGTTTTTCTTAGTGTCAGCTTCATGTTCAGAATGCAGAAGTAGAGGGAACCCTGTTGTGTCTCCCCAAAATGGCTTCACTCCTCATAGCATCGTGTTAGATGTAACTTTGCATTAACATTGTAAGTACAGGCAAGCCCGTCTCATGACTAAAAAAAAAAAAAAGTGATTTTGAAATTTTCCTTTGCATGTGCTGAAAGTCATGTGATCTGTTTTTCCGTGATACTAAAGAGAGGCTTCAGTGGACCACTTTCCTGGGGCCCTATTTAGTTTTGTTGTGTGTTTTGACATTATTGTTTAAACAATAGAAACAGGGTCTCCCTATGTGGCCCAGGCTGGTCTCAAACTCTCGAAGTAAAGCAATCCTCCCACCTTGGCCTCCCAAAGTGCTGGGATTACAGATATGAGCTACCACCGTGCCCATCCAAGAGGGGTCTGTATTTTGATCCCTAGAGTAAGGCTGTGAAATCAAGAAAGTTGTGTAAATTTGAGAACTGTACTCATTAAGCGACTGTTTCTGACAATCCAGTGATGGCATCCAGAAGATCCACCCATCTGTTGTAGCAGAGGTCTGGATATATCACAGCCCACTTCTCTCACTTAAAACCCAGAATGTTTAAATTTTAAATGTTAAGTTATACATTCTTAATATTGCAATTAATTTGGTAGAAATCCATATGTTCCTCTCTTGGGATCATCAAATATTTATTTGTAAAGAAAATGCGTGCTCATGCATGATACCTAAGGTGTAGACACAGCTCAAGGAAAAAGTAGCAGAATGGAGCTGGGCGCTGTGGCTCAGGCCTGTAATCCCAGCACTTTGGGAGGCCGAGGCGGGTGGATCACAAGGTCAAGAGATCGAGACCATCCTGCTCAACATGGTGAAACCCCGTCTCTACTAAAATACAAAAAAAAAAATTAGCTGGCATGGTGGTGCTTGCCTATAATCCCAGCTACTCAGGAGGCTGGGGCAGGAGAATTCCCTGAACCCAGGAGGCGGAGGTTGTGGCGAGCCGAGATGGCGCCATTGCACTCCAGCCTGGGTAACAAGAGCCAAACTCCGTCTCAAAAAAAAAAAAAAAAAAAAAAAGAAAGAAAGAAAGAAAGAAAAAGTAGCAGGATGTAAAACTACTATTCCTTCCAGTGAAACATCTAGGACTAGTGTCACTGCATATAACAGATCCATTCACTTGAACTTCAGCTGGTATTTTTAAAAGACCGTGACTTCTGCTTTGTATATTGCAACCATAAAACATCTTTTCCAAGGAGCGTTCCATCTCAAATGAAGAAAAAAAGACATACAAGACGAGCTACAGAATTTAATACCAAACATGGAGACAAATGCCTCCAAAGAGTAGAAAGTAAAGAATATGAAGCATGAGGTGGAAAAGGTAATCAAGATTTCAATCTTTATGAAGAAGTGCTGAAGATACGAATTAAAATAAGAGTCACCTGCAGTAACCATCAGGCATGTAATGGCTGCAGATGGCATGGTCGAATTATTAATGCTTACAGACGTTGCGATGATCACCGCCAAGTTTTCGACAGTTTGAAAAAGGACGTGGCTTTTGTGTCTTGTGTTGCTTTCAACTTTAAAATCCTATGCCTGGATTTAAGAAGAGACAGCGGGGGAAACGCACAAAGATCTTCGTGACTGTCTCTAATTGTCCTCACTGTAACCTCTGCCAAAGTGTGGAGAGGAAGGCAGGATCGAACACCAAAAGGAGAGAAGACATCTCATGTCTAGATGATGTGAGAAGCACCTAGCTGAAGTTAAACTGTAGCTTCTTGCAGTATCTATGACCGGAAAGAGGAAACCTTCCTATACCCTATACTCCACTGCAGGGAGCCCTTGAGAATGTTTACAGATGGCTTCATAATGTGATTCCTGCTGCTAAATGTAGCCAGAATGGCTCTGTGACCACCGATACTTGGCAGGAAAGAACAGATTTTTAGTGTATAAAATTCTATTTCTTTAGTATGGTAGTTGTAAACTAAGGAGGTTTGAGAGTCATTGCAAGGGAGTTCATGAATGCATACATTCCTGGTAATTTCATAGACAAAATTTACAGGAAAAAAATCTTGCATGCATTTAAAAATGGACAGAGATGCTGTTTGTGATGAACGAAGTTAAGTTTAGTGCTGCTGAATGCATGGCACATTGTCTTAACTGATAGGTATTAAGTGTATCTATCATCTTGTCAAATTGACGTCTGGTCAATTGTTTGAAAATCTTGACTTCATGTGGTGCACGCCTGCAGTCCCAGCTTGTCAGGAAGCTGAGGCACGAGAATTGCTTAAATACAGGAGGCAAAGGTTGTGATAAGCTGAGATCATGCTCCTTCACTCCAGTCTGGGCAAAAAAGTAAGACTCTGTCCCTCCCCCCCCCAAAAAAAAAAAGTGGAGTCAGGGGTGGATGGGTGCAGTGGCTCACATCTCATGCTGTAATCCCAGCAGTAGGTCAAGGCAGAAGGGGTGCTTGAGACCAGGAATTTGTGTCCAGCGTAAACGACATAGTGAGACACCATCTCTATTTTAAAAAATACTTAAAAATTAGCCGAGCATCGTGGCTTGTGCCTGTAGTCCCAGCTACTTGGGAGGCTGAGGTAGGAGGATCACTTGAGCTCAAGTGTGTACGTTTTCAGTGAGCCATGATCACACCACTGCACTCGAGCCTGGGTAGCAGTGAGACCTTGTCTTTTTAAAAACTGCTCGGAATGTAGTAGGTTTAGATCAAGGTTTGATGACAGGCAGTGTAATTTTTTGGCAAGGTCTCGATCCTTCTTGTCTACCCTTCCCCTGTAAGACTGGAGAGAGTTAGGATCCCTTCTCAAAATACTCTGTGAGTGTTTTGAATACCTCTGTGACCGGGGAGGGGGGGGCGGGGGGGAAGTACCCTTAGGGGTGGAACTTGGGGTGAGCCTCCATGAGTGACACCATGAAAGAGTGTCAGGACGGTCCTTAAGGTGACCAAATTCAAAGCCAACATCACAGTGACACCTGATGAGAAAAAAACAAACTGCATAGCAGGACGTCTTGCTAACCTGACATGGCAAAGAGAATATAGCTCCTCTTACTGCCCGTCATTCAAACCTGGTCTTACTGCCTCACACACACTTAACCTCGACTCTCACTTTGAATACTCTGCACTTTTCAAAGTCATCTTTGACCTGAAAGTGCCCGAGGGTACCTCTGTTCTGCAGGAGTTTGGAGGGCTCAACTCAAGGTTATTACCAAATGAGAGAGATAAAAGTGCAAGAGCTGACCTTTTCCTCGGAAATGTCAGCATTCAAGGCTCAGTCTCTTAAATACTAGGATGCTTGTTCTGCTTTTGTGTCAGATGCATACTTGATAAGCATCATGTGTGTATAAGAAGTAAAAGGTGCCAGCTAATCCCCAACTTGCAGTGCCTTTGAGTAGTGAACCTGAGCCTCCCATTTTAAACGAAGAACGACACCAGCCTGGCTCAGAACGAGGCATTCAAGTTGGGCACCGTCTTCTTCCTGTTCTAGCATTTACGTCCATTTATAAACTTAGAGGAAGAGTCTCTCAGCAGCCCACCTTTGGGCTGCTCTAAGTCAAATGTTACGGATGTAGTTCTTTTCACTGAACCCACAGGCACCTGCTATTATTGCTGGGACATCATGGACAAATTGGCTCCATTTGCAAACATGAATGACATTCAAGCCCTGGCATAGCTTTGTCCATTGGTGGAATGGAGCTCAAAGAAATGGCAAACTTATGGGCCTCCCAAAGTGGACAGTGAAAATATCGCCCAGAAAAAAAAACCAATTAGGGACAACATGACCTATATAAAAACCAATGCTATTACTTTCTCCTGAGTTAGTGGTAACTTCTGGCCTGCTCTGTGTTTCACCATGGTGCCTGGGCAAGGCCACCCTTTGTGGTATGTGGCATAGAGCACCACAGTAAGTACCTCTGAATCCTTGTCACGGACTCCAGGAGAATGTAGACTGCAGGAACCAATACGGACTTTAGAAACCGCTAGCTCATTTGGTGTTGGTCGCGGTGGTTTGTTTTGTTTGCTAAACTCAGCTTTATGCAGAATTGTTCTCTGCCACTGCATCTGCAAGCTAAATGCACAGTGCCTGGGAAAGACTAGGGAATGCAGGAGTACACCATGAGTCACCCTCTGGATAATTTGACAACTGCAAGAGAAAGTAAAACAAAGAGACTTGATGTGTATTTTAGCTACAGTATAATGTCCTGGGCCATTGAATTTGGGACCATCAGCGGGCTTTTTTCAACAGTGGGTCATCTAGGAGTCTGTTTTCTATTTGGGCCTTTGAGTTACTCGTTAGAAGAAAACCACTTGGCAAAGGACATACATGGTGAGCATTATGTATAGAAATACATGCTAAAACCATAAAGAGATTCTAGCCCCCAAAAAACCCACAGACTAGGCTCTAAGAGGTTTCTCCCTATGTAAACATCTAACCTCAGTATTGTAAATACCCCAAACTTACATGAGACAGGGAGGTCTCTGGAACCTCCAGAGCGAGCAGTGCTGAGAAGAGAGGTGGTACTTACACCAAACATTTGTCTGAGGTCCGGATCCCGGAACCTGAAGGGGATGTTGGAGACATGCAGCCGCTTGGGCTGAGACTTGTTTTCCGTGTTTTCGGAAGGTTGTGTCTGGGGCTGGCCATCCGTCGGTGCTGCGTCATCTGTCTGCTAAAAGAAGAAGGAGACATCGAAGAGGCTCTGAGTGGACCAAAATATTATGTTCCAATGTACAGCTAGTGCACAATTTGGTCCTAAGTTGAGTAGGCCATATGTACAGTTGAAATGGTGCACGTGGAGAGGGTAGTGCTGCCAGAAGCTGGTCCGCACTGTCCTACGCCCAGCTGGGCAACGTTTGCGCTGCCAGACGCGGAGCAGTCGTGGCTAGCGATTGTGGTCGGAAAGTCGAACGGTCGTTAAGTTGCATAGGTCCTAAGTCGATCAATACCTGTACTTCAGCTTCCCTAAAGGCAGAACCAAGGAATCGGAGAAGGGAAGGAACTGCTGAGTCATGCATGCATTCATTCATTCATCCAAGTGTTTTCTGAGCATCCACTGAGTGCTAATCACGAATCTGGGATTGGGCAGTGGGCAAAGCAGACAAAAATCGCCTCCCTCAGGGAGCATCATTCTCATGCGGGCAACACAGACAATAAATCCACTGATAAATAGAGAGTTGGAAGACAGAGAAAAGCATTAAAGGCTAGAAAAAGCAAAGGAAGGGGACTGGGAAGTGCTGGGGTTGGGAGGTGGGGAGTGGGAATCTCATCAGGAAGAGGGTAATAATTATGAAAGGTAGGAGAATGTGTATTTCTTAACTGACGCTCTTCAGAATCTTAAGATATGCCTACATAATTGTTCGGGCAGCGGTGCCGAAAAAATATAATTAAACAATTTGAAAAGACGAGTTGACATTCTGGAGTTCAAATAACTGGCCGACTGACTTCGACTTTTACGGTTCTAATTGCACAAACCTGTGCTGTCCACTACAGTTGACCACAGGTGACAATTTACATTTAGTAAGTTAAATAAGATATTTAACGTTGTTGGCATTAGCTGCATTTCAGATTTGCTCAGGAGCCACATGTAGAGAGTGCTTCCATCTCGAATAATGCAAATATCAAACACTTCCGTCTCTGCAGAAAGGTCTGTTGTGCTCTTTGCCTAGACCCTGTAACATTATTAGCCTAAGTCACTGGTTCATCACCCCTCTCCTCCAAATAAGGCTGTATAACACTGTGTTCCATTGACACCTGTATGTAGGCAGGAACTAGGGGAAAAGTCACAGTAACATTTGGTATCATAGCCACTGTCATACCCACAGTTCTAGAGTTCTAACATTTCCTTGAACGTTTGACACTTTCTCTGCAATTAGCACCTGTCGCCTCTGGGTGGCAGTAAACGCCATCCACATCAGATACCCGCTTTGAAACTATGATAGAAACCTTATGCGGAAGCCTATCAAATCTATGAGTGAGGGATCATCCTGACCTATTTGTCAGCAAACTAGAAATACATAATTGGGATAAAACTATCAATGCAGGCAGCCAGGTGTAAAATACTAACGACTCAGAGAAGGAGACACTCTTACAAAGTGAAATACAAAACAAACACCCAGATAACATGGGCATAATTTGCAAGTTTCTCACCAACCATGGTGTTTACTGGGAGGTTTCTTTTGCATTATCCTCCCTGACACAGCCTGAATTGCATTTTGAAATAAAGACATCCCGTTGGCTGCTAACCATTCTTCTAGGCTGATGTGGTATCAAAAGCCCTACCAGATGATTTCTTCAACTTCGAAGTACAAAGTCATGATGACAACAATATATAGTCATTTTGTCTATACTGTTGGATTAAATAGGAAGCAGTACCACCGTACGTTTTGTTAACTGGAAAATAAAAAATAATAAGTTCACACCTTCCAAGGCTTTGTGATTAAATAAATAATGTGTACTAACTTGGCCACGTTCCTGGCATGTATTCATTAAATGGAAAATAATGAATTATTTAGACTGATGATAATTTTTTTAATACCAAAAAGGGTTAAACTTTTTTGGGAAACATGCAGAAAAAGCTGTCATCTGCTTATTTTTAAAGTGTTTACACATCTTTACAGAGCAGCTGCTTTGTGCTGGACACATAAATTAGCCCTCCAGGTCACATGCAATTCCTACTTTAGTGAATGACAGCGATGGAGAAAGATCCTCATAAATAGATTCATTTTGTTGTTGTTTTCTTAAAGTTGGGTCTTGCTCTGTCACTCAGGCTGGAGTGCTGTGGCACAATCATGGCTCACTGCAGCCTGGAACTCCTGGGCTCAAGGGATCTTCCCACATCAGCCTTCCAAGTATCTACAACTACAGGCACACACCACCATATCCAGCTAATTTTCATTTGCAGAGACAGGGTCTCACTATGTTGCCCAGGGGGGTCTTGAACTCCTAGCCTCAAATGATTTTCCTGCCTCAGCCTCCCAAAGCAGCCTGACTACAGGCATAAGCCACCATCCCCAGCAGATACAGACTGCTAAATGTTGGGATAAGAGGCAATCACAAAGGGCTGAGTAACCTTAAATCAGGATCACACCACACTGTGGAAGGTTCAGCAAAGCTTGCCAATTCTGGAGGTAAATTTTTAGGTGGGAGATGTCTAAGAGAAGAGGAGGAAAGCACTGAGCTATACCAAGAGAGGGCAGAGATATGCAGAGATGTGAAACGATGCCCTGGATGCAGTGGAGTATGTGTGGACTTCAGCACCGCTGGTCAGAGGAGGCATGGACGGAGGAAAGGCAGGAGGGCAGATTTCCGAGGTGGTCAGGGGGCTAGATAAACGACCCCGTGTACAAAGCAAGAGTTTGAGCTTCCTCCTAAAAGCAATGAGGAGCCACCAAAGGATCACAGCGGGAGTCTGGTATGACCAGCTTGTGACACAAATGATACATGTCTATTTAATAGTTGGCTGACTCACCGACCAAATGAATTACTAGTGCATGAACGAACGAATGAAGACGTGTACAATCAATGTTGCCACCTTCATGCCATAGTTGAAGGGCAACATTGTAACAATGAAACCCAGAGAGAACAGAATCTGGTTTTTTCCAGTGGGAATATGAGGTTTTGTGCCATGTCCATGACACAGACATGAGCTTGAATCATGCAACTGTCACTTTTCAGAGGGTAAGGGGTTTTAGTACTCTGCATCAGACATGGAGTTTGCAGATGCTGCAGCTGAAATCCCAAGCTTCTAGTACATTTTTTTCCCATCCTGTTAGACGCTCCTGTTTAAATGCAAAAATGAAATGAGCTCCTCCTTTTCCTGAGAAGAAAACCTAGATTTGGATTTGTGTACAACTGCTGGATGTTTCAGTTTAATAAACCTAATTAGGAATTACAGAGATTATGATTAAACATATTAAATGATTAATAGCATTACGCCGCTCATGTGAAAATTAAAATTAATCATCTCTAGTCAAACAGGACTTTGGAGAAATCTTTGTGTTGTTCCCTTTGATAAAAACATACAATGCTCAATTAATCATTTTGCAGTGTATGCTTACATATAAATGCCTATATATTGTTATGGAGAAATACCTGTGTGTTAAAAAAGAATTCTTAAAGCATGTAAAATAAAGTAAGCCAAAAGTGTTTCAGATCATTGTGGGCGTATGGAAAGGGAAGAGGAGGAGTGTTAGGAAGGAGAGGTTGAATGAGGAAGAAAACAGAAAAAGGAAATGTCTTTAAGCCTCTTTATGCCTTTCATATGTTCAGATGTAGCACAAAGAACCAGGATGTTGGAATCACGTGAACAATCTCTGTTATTTGCTAATCTCACGACAGTCACTTTTCCTCTCCAAGCCTCAGTTTACTCTTCCAACAAAGGCTGTTAATAGGGTAATGGGGCCAGGTGCAGTGGCTCATGCCTGTAATCCCAGCACTTTCGGGGCTAAGGTGGGAAGATGGTTTGTGACCAGCATGCAACGTAGTGAGACCTGTCTCCACTAAACAATTTTTTTAAAAACGAGCTGAGCATGGCCATGTGCCTGTCATCCCAGCGACTTGGGAGATTGCTCGAGCCCAGAGATCCAGGCTGCAGGGAGGGAAGATCACACCACTGCCTTCCAGCCTGGGCGATGGAGCAAGATGAGTTCACGTCCTTTATAGGGACATGGATGAACCTGGAAACCATCATTCTCAGCAAACTGACACAAGAGCAGAAAATCAAACACCGTATATTCTCGCTCATAGGCGGGTGTTGAACAATGAGAACACATGGACACAGGGAGGGGAGCACTACACACTGGGGTCTGTTGGGGGGAAATGGGGGAGGGGCGGGGGGCGGGGAGGTGGGAAGAGATAGCATGGGGAGAAATGACAGATACAGGTGAGGGGACGGAAGGCAGCAAAGCACACTGCCATGTGTGTACCTATGCAACAATCTTGCATGTTCATCACATGTACCCCAAAACCTAAAATGCAATAAAAAAAAAAAAAAAAAAAAAAAAAAAAAAAAAGACTCTGCCTCTAAAACAAAAACAAAAAGACCACGAATGGTGGTAAGCTCACAGGATTGCGGTAAGGGCCAAATGTCGCAGGAGATGATGGAGCAGCTACCACAGAGCCTAAAGCCTGCTGTGGTTAAGGATTATCACTGACACTTCCATGAGTGTGATTTTTTTTTCTTTCCCTTTTTCTGGGACCTTGCAGGGAAAACATATTTAGAACAAGCCTGTGTTTTATGTCTTTGTGTTTGTTTCCTGAAAGATGACCACAAAACCGGTGACTGAAAGCCAGTGAACTTCATTCTTTCACAGCTGCATAGCCCAGAAATCTAAAATTGAGGTGCCAGGAGGGCCACTCCCTTCAGAGGCTCTAGGGAGGAAGCATGCTTTGCCTCTTTGAGCTTTTGGTGACTCTAGGCATTCCTTGGCTTGGGGCGGCATCCTTTCAACCTCTGCTTCCATCTATACAAGGTTTACCTCCCTCTGCGTGGGTGACAGTTAAATTTCCCTCTTCCTTTTTCTCCTTAAAAGATTATTAGTTGTTGGCTGGGCATGGTGATTCATGCACGGTAATCCCAGCACTTGGGAGGCCAAGGCGGGAGAATCACCTGAGGTCAGGAGTTCAAGACCAGCCTGGCCAACATGGAAAAAAAAAACATTTCTATTAAAA